GAGATCCGCCTGCCTCTGCCTCCCAAGTGCTGGGATTAAAGGCCTGTGCTGCCAGCGCCCGGCTACAGAGCCATTTTTATGTGTGTAGTGTTTGCATCGTTCTGCACAGAGAAAGTTATTTGTTAGTGATCTTGTTACTAGGGTGAATCTTGTTATATTGCTGATACTGACTTATTTGGCTATGGGTGTGTAAATTTCATCTTGTGTAACTTCATTTTTCTGGGGTTCCTTCAGATTACCGTTGGAAGGAGAAGCAATCTGACAAACTTAGTCTTTTACTTTCTAGTTGTTGCCAGTCCTAAGACTCACAACAAAGCTGAATTGTCCACAACTTTCAGGACTCTGTTCCTTGTTAGGAAGCTGCAGTTACAGTGATGTCATTCTTGTCCCGTGTAGAACCTTCCCTCAGATCCTGGCTCCCATTATCTTCAGCACTTCCATCTCCAATGTCAGCGTTTCTATTCAGCTTGGAGACACACCACCTTTTGCTTTGGGGTTCAATTCCATCTCCCTGGGTAAGGCTCAGGGATGGGAAGGGAACAAGGATTTGCTCTTTGGTTACAGCTATGCCTGTTCCATGGCGGCTTAATAGTCTACTTTTTAACACCTGTTTCAGATTACCAGCACCTCCGACCACAAAGTATCCATCAGCGGGCTGTCCTGACTGTGGATCACCTCTGCTGGCGGGTGGGCAGTGAGTCCCACATTCAGCGGGCACCACACCCACCTAATATGCATGTCTGGGGAGAAGCACTTGTCCTGGACTCTTTCACACTGCAGGTAGGTGGATGCTGTGTGGTGAGTAGGGGCCCACAGAGCTCCCTATCCCTATGACATGCTTCTGAGCATTGATCTTGCTCTTGGTGTGGATGGTGCACCAGGGTATTCTAACTCTGCATCTGCATGGCTTCCTTTCTTTTCTAGGGTAGCTATAACCAGCCCCTGGGTTTGTCCAGCACCCAATCCAATACTCTCTTTCTTGACTGTACTATTCGAGGACTTCAGGTAGAAATATCAGACATCTGTGCCCAGTGTCTGTCTCGAATCCTATCCTTAGTGATTCCACAGTCTGAAAAGTCAGCTGTCTCTAGGAAGTCTTTGCTTGGGGAGTCTGTGACCTTACTGTGGAAGGTGGACTTGAAGGTGGAAGACATGAACCTGTTCACTCTTTCTGCACTGGTTGGTAAGTGGAGCAGGAAGTGGGTAGTATGCCAATTTAGCAGCTTATGCTGGTTCACTCAGCTGCTTCTCCTTTAAGGAAGCTGATTATCTGGAAAGTTTCCATGTTAAGAGTCATGAGACATTAGAGGGCTTGAACAATAGGCTTTGTGCTGCTGCTTAGTAGCTATTGAAGGCGAGTATTAAAAAATACACAGATGGGGGAAAATTTAGCCTTGACGTGATCAAGAGAATGAGACCAACATAGGGTTTCTTTTGTCTTGATTTTTTTTTTTTTTTTT